CGTTATCCGCGGTAGCGGTCATGGCTGCAATTTTAAAGTTCGGTTTAGCGGCGTCAAGCGGCCGGCAAATTACTCCGAAAGGTATTTAAACGACAATTATAGCGGATGACATTACGTCGCGCTTTGAGGTAGAAGCATTCGAGATACGTTGATACTCGTTATTTTAATCAGCGACACGGGAAGAATGTTGTTCGTAACGCGACGCAACACGTAGATATAAATAGAAAAAAGGTTATGTCGTGTCGTGCGTGTTTATTGTTGCATATTTTGTTACAGGCACAGTAGTAAGTACACGTCGATTTGCCAGGATGTCCGAGTTATTGGACAAGGTGCCCGACGTGGACATCGACGGCCACGGGAGATTCAAGTATATCCTGATCAACGTGCAGGACGACGTCGGCAAAGCTAGCAAGAAGATCGTCAGGGGATACGCGAGAGCGCAGTGGCACGGTAAGTTCGCACTTTCGCAGTACGTATATGTCGTATATTCGCATTGTTATGTTTTGCCGCTAAGTGACGAACAACGTTGAACATCAGAGATGTTGGGCGATGTTGAAAAAAATAACTCTACGTCCAAATAATTAATTTAAGAAAATACTTAAGTTAATTCGTAATTTCTTTATAGCTGTTTAATAGCTATGAACTTTAGCTAATAAATTATTATACATACATTACATCGAGGCTAGACTTTGATCAAAATTTGATTGAATCGTGTGAATTGAATCGGTGATTAATTTAGTGCACGCGCAAGTGCTTATAGTAACATTTTTAAATTTTATACAGCATAGTGGAAGACTACATGAGAAATTGATGCCAGATACCTCCATCTTGCTGCGACAGTCTGAATTCGGCGTTATGTTATTAGTGTCTTATTTAAAAATTTAAAAATGCATCTGGGATCTGCGCAGAACCATACGAAATTTGTCTCGAGTATGAGCACATCTGTATTCTTCCACCATGCTATGCACAGTTCGTCGTTCTTCCTCAATCTAGTTTTTCTTTCCATGCACAACTACAAAAGATTTATAATTTTTATTTCTGATAAAATACTATAGATATTTCTCATTCTCGATAAGTTAATCATAGATCAAGTTAATCAAACTTTGGTCGAAGTCAGCCTAAGATATAACAAACAGAAATAAGGAATTAAACGTAAGGGATTAATAAGGGAAGAATTAATTTTAACATGTAGGAAGCTGCGCTTTAGTTCATAATAAAAGAATTAAATTTATATGTTTACTGTATATTAAGTAAAATCTATTAACAAAATTTAGTAAAATATAGAATAAAAAAGTTATGGATATAAGGATTAATCGAATCTAAAAGCATTCAGATATTGATCAATTTAGCAAAAAAATCAAATGATTATTAATTAAAGGATTACGAAAATCATAATACCTTATGAATCACAGAATATAAATCTTTGTTCGCAACGATTTGCGATGTGTTATCATAATTTCAAGAGTATAATTATATCCTATTGCAGATAGGACGTGATAGGTTTATTTATTATAGAAATTTATATATAACTATTATATAAATACACATATATGTATTTATTTACAATGCTAAAGATACAATCTGTACATCTTTACACATCTTCATTGTGGATACAGAAGCGATTGAAGTCATCATTTGACATAGGTATTAATACCATCTCATTTGGAAATGATTACTATGATTGACTTTTTTTTGTTAGTTGTATTTGTAAGTTTTCGTAAGATTGGTCAGTCAATACAATTGTAGACAAAAGCATATAATTGCGAAAATTGTTTCATTATTATATAAATAAAATGTTAATGATAGATGTGATGGATTTTATATGAAAATAAAAAAGATTTTGTAAAATCGAGACAGTAGATATACGTGGATAATTAATTTCTTTCAGTTAAGTTTAAATGTACTTTCATTTGTATACATTTTAAAATCTTGGTCACGATTATAATATCGAAACTGCAACTTGTCGTGAAAAATTCTCACTTCAGACTTCAGAATCCTTAAGAAGAAATCAAAGTTACAGTTATCGAGAGATATACAATTCAAATTTTATGTAGCGATAGTAGGACAATT